TCACAAACCCTGATAAACCCCGCCCTCGGGAAAAGGCAGCAAAGGGGGCGAGGCCATGCTGCGCTGCTTTAGAGAAGAGGAAGAGAAAACTAGAGGTGCACGTAAAAATCTATTCATATATGAATCGCGATTCTGTCTTCTAACGATTCTAATGGATTCACAAGTTTCAAAATCAATGTTCTAAAGCAGTGGTTCTTAATACTGTTCCTCGCGCCCCCTGCTCTGTACATGCTCTGCATCTCTCTCTCTCGCTCTCTCGCTCTCATTCAGCTCAGCTCCAATAATGAACTGTTACAAATACACTTATTTTCACATAGCTATGAGAAGCGTTAAACATGGACTGCAGTTGGCGTACTGTATTAAAGCTTTAATCAGGATAAAACCGTATATTAAAAGCTAACGTAAGCAGAAGCATTTACAAATAACAGCATATCTAAAAGTATGAGACAACAACAAACAAAAAACATAGGCCTACCATTAAAAGCCATGCTGCCGCTGCCATGTCGTTAAGGCGCTGTGTGCTTCGTTGTGAAAGCGTAACTACTTTGTTTGGTCTTCCAAAAGAGGACGATATCGCTTTGTCATGCCTGGAGCTGATCCGTGCTGGTCGCTGAGGAAATACTACAACTTCGTGCTGTGGATCGCCGGATCAGCTTTCACCGTGGACAAAGCGGAGTCCAGCCCAGGGTCGTCACATGTGGTTGCCGCAAGCCCTCCGGACGCTCCTTCATCGAATCCGCCGGCCGCGCCGTTCTCAAGCCCGCCCGCCTCTGCTCACTCTAACCCTCCGGCCGTTCCTCACACTAGCCCCCGGCCTCTGCTCACTGTAGGCCACCGTGTGTGACGCTGATTAATGCACAGTATGTGGAAAATAATGTGTTTTTTTAACCTTAAACCGCATAAACACATTTCATTACACCAAATACACAAAATAATGTTCTTTTTAGCAGCATCATATGACCCCTTTAAAATCAAATTTTCCAGTTTTTCACTAAAAAAGAAAATTGTTCCAGAAGAAACCAAATCATCTGAGAATAGTTAGTTCTCAGATAAATTATCATTTACAAGATTTTATTTACACAACACTATTTTGAACTAAAAATTTTAACTCTTCTGTGTTTTGGCCGTTCATTTACATGACAACGGAATTTTGGGGCCTGAAAACGCAAACTTTTGAAAACAGGATTCAAAGTGCACGTTTTTGAAAATGATACCGTTATAAACTATGAAAATATTTGTGAAAACAATGTTACGCGCATGTGTATGTTCAGTCTATAGGAATGTGTATGTGTGCAGGTGCTTAGTGTTTTTTTTTTTTTTTGACAGCACGAACATTTTCAAAAACACAAAGCAAAAACTGTTCTGTTTTTAGTACTATTGTCATAAACATAGCCTAATGCAAAAAATTAACATTTTAAATTGAAAATCTAAATACTTTTTGAGGCCAAGCATATGCCTTTTCAGTAAGGTCAAATTCGTTTATTTTTATAATTATAAGGCTCTGAGTACACATCTGTTTATTATGGTCTTCTGATTGCATTAAATATTAATCAGATCAGATGCATACCTGAGTCTGCCATGTGAACAACTGTTTGGCTAGGGCTCTTACTAATCATGTTGTTGATAACACATGAAATCCAAAAGCACCAAAGCATAATCTCCAAAAACCCCTGCACCACCCCCATCAAAAGCAGATTCACTTCAATGATTATTCCCAATTTGCTATTTACAAACCAAAGATTTATATCCCCATTTTTTCCCCCTGACATGCTACAAATAGATTGTTCCAGGTGGGACCCAACAGGAGTTCTGTGGGACATTTATAACACACTGTGTAATTCATCTCCTTTGAAACACTCGCTCAAGCCTCAAAAAAGCATTACTTTAGCTGTCATCTGCCTCCTTTCTGATCAATACCAGAAAAAAAGAGAAAGCATAAAAAGTTAGATTTGATAGAGAAAATCCACTCTGCGGGTGGGAAATGTGGTGAAAATGCTTGCTTCCTCCGATCTGTGATTAGTTTTTATGGTTTTCTGTGGATTTCCAAATCGCTCAGTCTGACTTTGAGTTGTGAAAACTGGTCTAGGATCAGTTTATGAGGACATTCTCTTCAGCTCAGCCAGCTAGGGCTGATTATCCCTAATGATTTATTGTTTTGTCAACAGTGGTGCACTGGGTTTTAGTAATATCTCATTCTGAAGCAGATCAAATATACATTGTCGTTAACAACACAGCCAGAATGAAACATAGGAGAGCCAATGATGATTTTGCCTTAGAAGAGAGCTTTAATGTAAAATAAATGAAAAAGGTTTTAACGTCCACTGAATGTGATTATATTGTTTTGATGTTTCAGTTCTGGAAAATCAATGTGTCTACCTTTTTAGTGAGTCTAGACTTATTAGGCGCTCTGCTCGTAAATAACTACAGCTGTGTAAAATGGTTAATATAAGTTGACTAAAATATGTGATACTAAACATTTTGTTTAAGGATTTTGGGAAATCATGGATTTTGTGTTATTGAAAAACTAAATAATGCTCTCTGCGGATGTGACACTGCAGGAGCACACATTTCAGTTTGCACCTAAATTTGTCATATAAATAATTAAAATGTTTGGTTTCAAATTGATAAATCAACTCTACACTGAAGAGAGAGAGAGAGAGAGAAAATTATACTGTACTGGTAATTTTCTGGCAGGACAACATCCATTAACAGACATTTCTGTTAAACCTAAAAAAAAAAAAAAAAATTCCTCATTTAAAAAAAAAAAGATT